CTGTGTTTTCTATTCTTCTTCAATGTTTTTTTTTCATTTTTTCCTCACCCTTTTTTATGTTATCTTAATTTACCATGTATTTTTTTTCCATGTTTTTTTAAATGTTTTTAAATGTTTTTTTTTTCACATTTCTCATGTTTGTCCATGCTTTTTAATATTTCCCCAATTTGTTGTCATGTTTTTCCATGCTTTATTTTCAATTTTTTCCTTCATGTTTTTCTATATTATGTTCATTTTTCATGTCTTTTTTCATGTTTTCCATCTTTTCCCATCATTTTCCCATATTTTTAAATGCCTTTTGATGTTTTTTCCGATGATTTTCATGTTTTTCCATGTTTTTTCATCCTTTTCCATATTTGTTGATTTTTCCATTCAATTTTTTTTCATTTTTTTCATGTTTTTTGTTTATTTTCTTGTTTTTTTTGTGTTTTCTGTGTTTTGACTTGTTTTTTCTGTTTATTCCATATTATGTCCATTTATCATGTTTTTTTAATGTCCATGTTTTTGATTGTTTTCATGTTTTTTTCATGTTTTTCTGTTTTCCCATTTTATGTGTTTTTTCAATGTTTTTAGATGTTGTTTATCATGTTTTTATCATGATTTATTTATGTTTTTCCAAGTTACTAATGTTTTTTCCATGCTATTTCTCTGTTTTTGCTGATGTGGTCTGTGCTCTGTTCTTTAGGGAGTTTGCCCGCTGGAAGGTGAGGAACACGGCCATTGAGAGGCGGGATCTGATGCGCAATCCTCTGCCGCTGATGCCGGAGTTCCAGCGCAGCATGCGGATGCTCGGCAGACGGCCGTCCACACAGCAGTTCATCGACACCATCATTAAAAAATATGGGACGCACATCCTGATCTCCGCCACTCTGGGAGGTGAGTTAAAAAATTATACTCAAGTAAAACTACCATTACATTCACGAAAATGAGGTGCAAAAGTAGAGTAAAAGTAGTCAAGTATTAGTCAAAAGTGATCAAATAACCTTAAACATATCTAAGTTCACTAACATAAATACTAAAAGATCAAGTAAATGTGTCATTGCATGCCCTAAAATGTAGTGCAAGTAGAGTAAAAGTATCTGTTGACCCTTTTCACATTTGTGAGTCTCCCAGCAGCAGAAGTTGTTTTCACAATGCTTCAAGTTTAATATATCAGGATGATAACATTTATTTATTTTCCTGTCCAGGCTATGCTTTGTTTTATGGTTGGTTTCATAATTTTCATGCATGAGAGTCAAATTTGAGAACAAATCTCTCTGATAATGTAGCTTGTCTTTAGTGCCAAATGAAAATCTTATTCCTCCTGTTTGTGCAAAGCTGAACTGAGTATAATACCAATTTTACCCCTTTAATTTTTATCTCTTTAAAAAGTTTGCATATGTACAGTTAAATAAATAAATAAACTCAATGCATTTGATAAACTTTTTTATCCCTTCATAAACATGAATAAATTAGTAAATAAAAAAATAAATGAACTTACGAACGAACGAACAAATCAACAAACAAGCTAAACTTCAAAGACTTTTTAAATTCCTCCATAAACATAAATAAATAAATAAACTTAATGCATTTGAAAAGCTTGTTATCCCTCCATAAACAAAAATAAATAATTAAATAAATAGATACATAAATGAATAAATGAATGAATAAATGAATGAATGAATGAATGAATGAAAGTGTAATGCATTTGAATACTTTTTATCTTTCCATAAAATTAAACAAATGTACAAACGAACAAATGAACAAAGAGACGAACAGACGAATTAACGAACAAATGAATAAACGAGCGAATAAGCGAACGATCAAACAAATAAACAATGCATTTGAAAAAACTTTATGTATTCCTTCATAAACAAAAATAAATAAAAATGATTGAATAAACAAATCAACAAATGAACGAAATAAATACATTTAAAAGACTTTTTAATCCCTTAATAAACATAAATAAATGAATAAATAAATAAATGAATAAATTAGTCAATTAATAAATTAATCAACGAATCAATCTATCAAATAATCAATTAATGATTGAACAATTGAACAAATCAACAAATGAACAAATGAACTAAATTACAAAGACTTTTTAATTATTTAATAAATAAACAAACAAACAAACAAACAAACAAACAAACAAACAAACATGAATGAATGAATGAATGAATCAATGAATGAATGAATCAATGAATGAATGAATCAATCAATCAATCGATCAATCAATAAATGAAAATGTAATGCATTTGAAATAATTTTTTCCCTCCACAAAATAAAAACAAAAACAAACGAACGCTCAAATGAATGAATGAATGAATGAATGAATGAATGAATGAATGAATTTAGAATAAATTAATAAAAACGTAATGCATTTGAAATACATATTGTACCCTAAAATAAATAAATAAATAAATAAATAAATAAATAAATAAATAAATAAACGAAGGAACGAAGGAAACTAAGGAACGAAGGAAACTAATGAATGAACTAAATTACAAAGACTTTTTAATCCTTTCATAAACATAAATAAATAAATAAATAAATGAATAATAAATAAATGAATAATAAATAAATAAATAAATAAATAAATAAATAAATAAATAAATAAACTTGAATAACATTGTTATAAATAAACATGAAAATAACATTGAAAACAACCTTTCTCCTATTTGAACGGATCTGCATTGTGTCTGATAGCCTTTTTGTCCTCTCCTGGCTCAGTGTCAGATGTACTCGTGGCTGTCAGCTCTAGTTGTTGTGATACGCTGTCGTTTTTCTCTCATGAAGAGCTCATTTTCAGGGGCTGGAATATTATATCACTTCTGGCTTAGTGGTTGAATTTGATGCTCTAATTATGGCATGGAGAAATCTGATATGAAGCAGGAATATGATGCTATGATATGATGGCCAAACGCAGCGCAGATCATCCAGGGTCATTTTCTACGTCTCTCATAGCCGATGCTGTTTAATTTAGCTCACGTTTGGGATTGTTTTCTATTTTTAGTGCATAAAATAACCAATTTATTGTGTTTATGTCTTTTTGTTGAGTGGATAATGATGTTATACTGCTTTACTTTTGCTCATGTTTGGGTTTAATTAGATTTTTATTGCATACAATGACATATTTATTATGTTTTGTTTTGGACAGTCTCTGTCTTTATTATAGGCATTTAAAAAATATGTAATGTTTTTATTTTAATAATACATTAAAATAAAATAGCTAGTTATAGCTATTGTTACCCAACAAATGGGCAATTAAATGCCTAAATGATTCAATTAATAAATTTATGAATGGAGATTAAATGAATGAATGGAGAATTAAAAAGAATTATAAATAATAATAATAATAATAATAATAATAATAATTTTTATAAATAATTTTTTATTTTGCTTTTTGTTTTTGGTGGCCAATGACTCTGGGGAGTCTCTGTCTTTATTATAGTCATTTAAATAATACATTTTGCTTCTATTTTAAATTAAAATGTTGCTCTGTTCACTGTTTTAAATAATGCTTTATGGTGTTTAATTCAGTTGTAAAACACACACTTGAAGCCTATTTTAATAAAAAATAAAATTAAATAAAGTAAAAAAAAAATTAAAAAATAAAAAAATAAAATAAATAAACAAATAAAAAAAGTAATAATAAAAAAATAAATAAAATAAAATAAAAAATACAACAAGAAACATAAAAAATAAACAAAATGAAATAAAATTATAAAAATAAAATAATAAAATAAAATATTTTTAGGTTTCCCCTACAGTAAAACATGCCCTATAGGGAATTAAATTAAATTAAATTAAATTAAATTAAATTAAATTAAATTAAATTAAATTAAATTAAATTAAATTAAATTAAATTAAATTAAATTAAATTACATTAAATAAATTAAATTAAATTAAATTAAACAAATATGAAATAGGTATATAAACACATTGATGATTCAATGCTTAAATGATAAAATAAATAATAAAATGATATATTAATATATAAATCAAAATAAAAACCAATAAAACTTTAAATAAAATAAAAAACATTAAAATAGAATTTTAAATAATATAAAATACCATTAAAAAAAAACATAAATAATTTACTTTAATTTAGTTAATCATTATCACATACTGGTTTATTTTAGTTCACATTTGGGATTTGAATATATTTTTTTAATGCATAAAATAACATTTATTGTGTTTAGTTGTTATGGCTTTTTGTCTTCATGAACAATACTAACTCTGTCTTTATTATAGTCATTTGAATAAAACATTTGTGCTTTTATGTTTAAATGAAATGTCACTCTGTTCACTGTTTTAGCGAATGCTTTATGCTGTTTAATTCAGCTTTAATCCACACAGTTGAAGCTTTTATTTACACTGCGTTTTGGTACTTTATTATTGTAAAAAGTCGACTGTCTTTCACTAAGCTCAGAGTTTTGCTCCATAAAAAAGAAAAAAAAATTACAATTAAGTTATTATTTTGACAGGACAGAAAATAATGTGCTCGGAGCAAAGCAGGGAAATATGAAGTCATAAATAATGTGGAGTGATGCAACGATATTAGATAGATAAATCTGTGTTTGCACTGACCTTCAGCCTCACAGCACTGTGTGTGTGTGTGTGTGTGTGTCTGCTTGTGTACAGTATATGTGTCTGCTTGTGTGGAACAAATTGAAACATAAATATGTTCACAACACTAAATGTAACCAAAAATATAAATTTAAATTGTAAATAATGTAAATAATACATCATTTTAACATTAAACCTGTAATATAAATTGTAAACCTACTTCAAAAATAAAGCTATATACTATAAATAGTTAACTAAACACAATCTAAAATGAACTATACAAGTACTTTACATAATACAGTATAATATTGTGCAATATATAGTGCAATTGAGGTATTTAAGGTTAAAAAAGTATTGCTACATGATTTT